AAGTCCCAACCCGCAGCTCCAACTCCACTGCCTACAACCATCACGTGACTAACTTTGTCAAAATCCTGAAATACCAAAAATACCCCCAAAGTCAAACTTGGTCAACCCTGGTCAAAGTCAAGGTCAACAGTCCATGTTGACCCAACTCGTCAAGTGCATCTAGCAACTTGACGAGTTCCTTCAGGGTTCACAAAGTCGGGAAAAACCCTAACTAACTCGTCGAGTTATCTTATCAACTCGCCGAGTTTACTCTGCATACCGAAAACTGGAAAACCCGATCCAACTCGTCGAGTTGCCAGGGCAACTCGTTGAGTTTTTCCCTGTCTTAACATATTCAGTCCTTCCAGTCGAATCCAAAGCCCCGAACTACAGATCCAGCCCCTTAGGACTGAAATACCACATAAAGTTGCAAACTTTACATGCATGCAAGGCCTTAAAAGGCTAAAACACTAAAACTAAGTCTCATACAAGGTTTAGGGCATGGAGGATGGCCAAAGCTTGAATCTTTATACCCAAGGAGGCCTAAGGTGTCAAGATCTGAAGTCACAACTTCAAATCATGCTCAACTCCGAAAATGGTTCCAAAATGGGCTAAAAATGCACTAAACTTCCATTGCTAAACTTCCATGGGAGAAGATCTAAGAAACAAGAGGTCAAGGTAAAGATTTTTTTACCTCCAAATGGTTGTTAACACAAGGTAGATGTCGGATCTATAGCCTCTTCCTCACTTCAATCTATTCAATCTTCAAGTTTCCTTCCAAAGAGCACAAGAATTACTCTTTAAAGCTCACACACACTCAAGAAAGCACTAAAGCACGGCTAGGTTTTCTCTCTGGACAGTAAGGACGATGAAGGAGGCCACAAATGAGCCATAAATTCTTTAAATACGGTACAAACCCATGAAAACTAAGGTTTTCCTTTACAACATCTACTCGTTGAGTTGGGGCCTTCCAACTCGTTGAGTAGACCCTAAGTCTCGCGTCCAAAATGATCTCTACTCGACGAGTTGGAGCTCCCCAACTCATCGAGTTCCAATCTAAAACCCTAAAATCTTGAGAAATAAATGATACCTGAAACGAGCGTTACATTCTCGTGACATGTGTCTGTATCATGGGTAAATTTTTTAGCCTCTAGTGGTGTTTTGGTTTATTTGAACACTTGTGATATTTCTGATTGTAGTGGTTGCAAACTGGCAAAATTCTCTGTTTTACCTTTCAGTAAAAGTATGTCTTGTTCTATTGCTCCTTTTGATATTATTCATTCTGATGTGTGGGGCCCTGCACCACTATCCACAAAGGATGGGTCGACCGATTATGTATCTTTTAAAGATGATTATACTCGATATACCTGGGTTTATCTTACGAAACACATATATGATTTTATTAGCATTTACAACTATTTTAGAGCTCTTGTTAAAACTTAACATTCTGTTGTGATAAAGTGCTTTAGGTGTGACTTAGGGGGTGAATATACCTATAATGATTTTACTCAATTACTTGCTTCTGATGGTACCATACACCGGTCATCGTGCACTGATACTCCTTAACAAAACGGTGTGGGAGAACAAAAACACCATCATATTGTTGAAACAGCCCCCTCATTCCTAGTGCCTTTTGGGGAGAATCAGTCTTAACTGCTCTTTATGTGATTAATCGTATCCCTGTTGCATTAAATTCAGGAATGTCTCTTTTTGAGAAGCTATATGGTCACCTAGAAGACTACTCTGCTCTACGAGTCTTTAGATAGTTGTTTTGTTCTTTGTCCTCATGTTAAGAGGAACAAGTTGGGACCGAAATCTGATATTTATGTATTCTTGGGGTATGTTGTTGGACATAAACAATATCATTGTTATGATCCTGTTAATCAGAAGCTATATGTTTTCCAGTATGTCACTTTTTGGAACATATTTCTTTCTACTCGATTCCTGCTACAACCCACAATGTAACGAAGTCGGATCTTCTTCATATTGATCCTTTTGATGAGGATATAGAGGCTCGAGACTCATCTATGCCGTTGAGATAGATGACCCACGTCCACCACCCCTAAGGAGATCTACTCGTCCTATCAAGTCCGCAAAGCTTCCAGATTTTGCTTAGTATACATACTCAGGACCATTTGCTTCATTTATAGCGAACATTCATCATCTGTCTGAACCTGAGTCGTATAGAGAAGTTGCATTAGATCCTTTTTGGTAGAATGTTATGGCTGAGGAACTCACTGCTCTTCATCAGACTCATACATGGGATTTGGTTCCCTTCCTCCTGGGAAACATGTGATTTGTTGTCGTTGGGTGTACACGATATAAACAAAAGTTGATGGGTCTGTAGAGCGGTACAAGGCCATACTTGTAGCAAAATGTTCCTAACGGTACGGTTTTGACTATGAGGAGACCTTTGCCCTAGTGGCAAAGATGAGGACAGTCCATACTATGATTGCGGTTGCATCCGTTCGACAGTGGAAGATCTTTCAAATGGATGTCAAGAATGATTTTTTGAATGGTGACCTCCACGAAGAGGTTTATATATCTCCTCCCCCAGGAATTTAGCACCATCCGAGTGAGGTTTGTCACCAAGCACCTCGTGCTTGGTTTGAGAAATTCTCCACAATGATTACCTCTCTTGGATTTGTCCAGAGTAATAATGATTCGACTTTGTTCAATACATGTTTGAGTGCAGGATGAATTCCTTTGTCCCTATATGTGGATGACATGATTATTACTGGTGATGACCATCGTGGTATTGAGTCTTTGAAGCATGATCTAGCTCATTGATTTGCTGTGAAGGATTTGGGCTTGTTGTATTATTTATTGGGTATTGAAGTAGCTCAGTCTAAGAAAGAGTATCTTTATTTTCAGACTAAATATGACTTGTTTACATGGACGGGCCTCTCTAACAATCGGACTGTTGATACTCCTCTTGAAACCAATGCACGGTACTCTCCTACTGATGGTGTTCCTTTTTTCGATCCGAATCTTTATCGTACCATTGTGGGAAGTTTGGTTTATCTCACAGTTACTCTTCCAGATATTGCTCATGTTGTTCATGTTGTCAGTCAATTTGTTACGGCTCCTACCTCTGTTCATTGGGGAGCTATACTCTGTATTCTGAGATATCTTCGTGGCACTCAGTTTCAAACCCTTTTGTTTCCCTCGACGTCTTCTCTTGAGTTACGTGCCTATAGTGACGCTAATTGGGATGGCGATCGTCATGATCGTAAATCCACCACCAGATTTTGCGTATTTCTTGAAGAGTCTCTCATATCCAGGAAGAGCAAAAAACAGGACGTTGTCTCTAGATCTTCCACGGAGGCTGAGTATCGTGTTATGGCTGTAACTACATGTGAGATTATCTGGTCACGGTGGCTTCTTGCGGATATAGGAGTTCACATTTCTTCACCTACTCCCCTGCATTGTGATAGCAAAAGTGTGATACAAATTGCGAAGAATCTTGTTTTCCATGAGCGGACGAAACACATTGAGATTGATTGTCACTTCACCCGTCATCACTTACAGCTCGGAACCATATCACTTCCGTTTGTTTCATCAAAACCTTCCAACTTGCCGATATTTTTTATGAAATCTCTATCGGCATCTCGATTTTGTTTCTTGTGTGACAAATTCTCAATGCTTATTGGTGTGACATTGTGAGTTTGAGGGTGGATGTTAGCCTATATGTTGTTAGCCCACATGTTTATGGGCCTTTAGGATTTAGCCCATTAGGGTTTGGTCTTAGCTAATATTTATTCTTCAATTTCTTCTTTGAAGTCTTTATGTTTTTTATCGACAACCTTGAAATTTCTCTTTTCAATAATTATAGGGCAATATTATCAATAAAAACTAAATTTAAGAGCGTGAATTGTTACACGAAAAACAAAAGTAAATAAATTAAAAAGGTACATATGGAAATCTATAAAAGTTTAGTAATAAAGTAAACGTTGTAAAGGGGGGTTGACTGTGAAATATGTGCTATCTATAAAAGTTTAGTAATAAAGTAAACGTTGTAAAGGGGGGTTGACTGTGAAATATGTGCATAAAGTGATGGCTAAAACCATAACATGAATGAAAAACATAAATCTGAGCTAGTCAACTTATATGTTCAATTGAGCTACGTACTCAACTTATATATATGTACAATTTTGAATAAACTCATATATATATATATATATATATATATATATATATATATATATATATATATATATCAACTATATAACTTGATTAAAACTCTAGCCTATGCACCCCTTAATTAGGGCCGGCTGTTCGATTAATAAGTCGTTGGGACGTAGCTAATTTCAGTTGCTAAAGGCTAATTGTTGCAGGGAATGCTACTTAGCTTAAAGATATACCACGGTTGTATACAGTCAATCGTATCTTATCTTTGTTGCATCATGACTTTCATTTTTCTATAATAAAAGACATGGCACTAGCAGTCAAATGTACAGCACAAGTATATGCATGTAATGGTCCACAAAGGTCAAGGATCAAGAGGGGTCTTTCCCTATCTTTCTCTTCAGCCTGAACAACTCTTTCTGTTTGTTGATGCATGCATAATGTCGCTTCTTATTCTATCCTATATATCAAAACAATTATAAATCTCCAACATGCATGTCCATAGTTTATATGGCAGGTAACATGTGTGCTTCATTTTATAATCTAATTCAACTCTTCTTTTTCAAGGGTTAATTTGCATTAGATCCACATTTTGAGATGGGAAATCATTGAGTGTCACTCTATTAATCCATTTGCTTTGTGCATGATGATTACCCAGTTTCGAACAAAGTTTGACCGGATAATTAAATAGTCAAAGATATTGATTTAACATGAAGCGTTCTAGTTGCAACTAAGATCCAAATTGAACATCAAATAATGTTTTGTATTATGAAGGGAGAAAAAGAAAAGGCAAACATACCTTATGTTGACGGGCCCTTTGGATTGTGATACGTGTTGCCATATGAACCCCCCGCAATGTTAGCCCCCCCTCCTGCCCTCTCACTTTCGTCTATATTTTCCTCTTCTATACTCATTGACTATAATCTTTACGTTCACCCTCATATGCATAAAACTAGTTGTGTGCGCTATTTATCAACTCCATCCACTTGAGAAACAAGGAAATGAAGGTATATATTTTGATGGTTAGATACCATGGAGTTTTTAAAAAAAAAAAATAAAACGTCATGAATATCTTATATATCTCTGTCACCTTTTAAATAACATGATTTTGTCAATATTTTACACAGATCTTCAACTGGGTTCGTCGGTTTAATCACAAAGGTGACATTCCTGCTTCAATTATGCGTTTTTTTCTATAATATATTTCTAAATGTTGTTCATAATTATATTTTGATAGATGAAGCTGGCCATGGTGCCACAAATGAGGTTACTCAAAATGGGAAGGACGGCAAGCCCGTGCTGCTTGAACATGTAGCCTTTGATAGTGTGTTTGATGGTTGGAAAGAAGGCATACTTGCTATTGGAACATTAGGATTTGATCCTGCATTATTGAAAGGTTCAGAGCCCAAAGAAGACACGTATTTGTGTGAAATCAGTCGTAAAGAGTTATTTGTTGCTGACAATGGTGATGAGGACGACAACGGAGAGCAGGAACTAGAAATGGAATTTCCATTGGTGTTAAAAGCTTGTAAGCATGGGTTCTTTCATGATCAGAAAGATGATCACCTACAATGTGATGAAGTTTCTAAAACAGATGATCGTAAAGATGTGGAGGATCCGGAAGGTGTAGATGTTGATGAGGTTAAAAGGGTAAGGAAGACTGGACAAAGAACCACTCTAGCCGATCTATTTTCGGCTGATTCAGAAACGAACTTGTTGAAAAACAAGAGGTTGGCTAATGAAGATCATGTCAAAGGTCACTTCCATACTACTGAATCCAACAAAAAGCATGCTTCAAATGATGATAGGGTGGCCTTAATCTCTAATACGAAGCTCACTACTAAAGACAATACAACTCACATCATCAAGAAAATAAACAGAGTGAGCCTCTATCTCTATCCCGGTGTATCTAATTATCTATGTACCTACCCATCTATCTATCTATCTATGTCTCTAATTTATCCCAATGTTGTGAAAGATGATGAAAAAGATTTTAAAGAAGAAGATACATCCAGACGTTGAGAATCAAAATGTGGTTGCATGTGTGAAGCCTATGCGCCTACCTGGATCAGTAAAGACCGCATAGTAGGTATGTATTGATGTATTCATATCTCTCGGTCTTTTACCAAATCTTAATCTCTTCTAGTAGAAAAAAACATAACTAATTTTCTAAAAGATAAGAACTCAAACATCAATGCTGAGAGATTGACCATTTTTTTTTGGTTCTTGGCTCCATCAAACTTGCGTTCACAATATGCCACATCCAGAAAACCGGCAATGAAATATCTAAAATAAGTTTAAATCTACTAGTGGTTAGCTGTGTTTACAAGAAAATGTCATAGAGTATGTTCTGTTTTGCTTTTGTTTGCAGTGGACATGGAGGAAAGCGCTTGCCATTATGTGTTGCAGAAAGTTATTGATTTGGTTGCTTGGTTAATTTATGATTGGTTTTCCTGTTCAGATTGTGTTCTATGTTGCTTTCATGTTCTTGTTCATCTATTTCTTTGTCATTAATTTCTTTAAATCCATGGAGTGAACAGTTGTATGTCATGGACTTATTATTTTTCCTGTTTACTTATTTAATGCATCTTCATGCTTCCTACAATTATAGAATTAACCAATGGTCATGGTCACACCTGAGTAGTTAAGTTTCACCTACTAAATTTTTATTACTACACTTTGTAAGAAGACTTGGGTAGCCCCACAATTGAAACCTGGTGGTAAGTTTAAAATTCCACATAAAAGGTCCAGAGTTCAGACTATCACAGACTCAAAAATATTGATATTGTTTTAGGATTAACCTCCCATGTAAGCCGTATATCAGGTTAATGACCCCTCAAATGAGATTTGGTTTATCGTTTTTTTTAAACACTTCGTAGCTTTCTAATTTTTATGATTAAAAATGTTAAAATAAAACTGACTTATACGAAAACCTTAAAACCATTGTTCATGAGATCTATTGTCCACAAAAAATGATGTCATTTAAAGGTTAAAATCATTTTCTGTTAACAAGCTATGTTCTTTGTCCAATATCCCAAATCACTATGGGTATTCATTCACTCGGATCTCACTACAAAAAACATATCTTCATCCACGCCAATATATGTAGATAATGGTCTTTACCCACAAATTTTCCAAGAAACAAGACTCCTGGGTAATTTTTTTCCCATAGATTACCCTCGAAATTACCCACCGATTTACCATGGTTTTTTATCCACATATTATCTATGACCACGTTATCCACACCTTATCCACAAATAGCTGGATTACCAACGAAATATCCATAGACTTGTTCCCCACGACTTTTCCAGGACTCTATTACCTATGGTTTATACATAGATTTTTACCCACGGATTATCCACGTATATTTTTTTTTTGGAATGATTATGTGGGTTACGTAACAGATTTAAAAGTTTATACTTTTACAATTTACAGAAAATTCAAATTTTTTATAACTAATTAAAAAATGTAATATGAACAAAACAAATTTCAGTAGAATCCATAAAATTAATCTAGACAGGTTCGAATACCAAATCTACAAAATTTTCAAATACCAAATCTATAAAGTTAATATATAAAGTTTCAAATTCCAAATATACAAAAGTTTCAAATAACAAATTCATAAACCTAATCTAGAAAGTTTCAAATACAAAATAATTACAAACATAAAACTAATTGTTTGTACCGCCTTTGCATATATTTACTCCAAAGTTCTTCCATACGTTTTTGCATAGTTACTTAAGGTGCTCAGATTCCTCATGTTCTTTATGAATAATTTTTTCTGATATGGCGGGCTTCAAAAATATAGAACAAACAATACCATTAGTAAATAATATAAAAACAAAAACAAGAACGTACTTTACTAATTTTAGAGTAAATTACTGAAATCGTCCCTGTGGTTTGGTCAAAATTGCACGTTTGGTCCCTAACTTTTTTTTTGCACTCGGGTCGTCCCTGTGGTTTGATTTTGTTGTGTTTTTCGTCCCTATGGTTTGGTAAAAGTTGCATGTTTGGTCCCTAACTTTATGTATGTAAGGGACGAAAAATGCAACAAAATCAAACCACATGGACGAAAAATGCAACAAAATCAAACCACAGGGACGATCCGAGTGCAAAAAAAAAGTTAGGGACCAAACGTGCAATTTTGACCAAACCACAGGGACGATTTCAGTAATTTACTCCTAATTTTACCACAAAAACTGATAAATCAAACAAGATTAGCAAATATGTATTCGTTACACCAAACAAATGTTAAATCAAACAATAATATTAGACAAAATAAAAAATAAATAAATAAATAAATAAAAACGCAAAAAAATCATCTATATATATATATATATATATATATATATATATATATATATATATATATATATATATATATATATATACTAGTCGTTACCCGCGCAAAGCAGCGGCGGCGAATAATTTGTTGTGTCACTTATGTCCATTCAAAAACATGTTATATTTCAAGGAATCAAAATTTCTTTTCGACGAATCATTTGCGTTGGGTGTTTATTTGTCATTCGAAAATATTCATTTAAAAGTATGTTGCTGTTTTGGATTAAAAATAGAAGTATGTTGATGTTTTTTTTTTGTTAAATATTAATATCAAGTATAACAACTAATATCACAGTATTATTAAATTTGAGTAAAAAATTAAAATAAAATTTGTTTCTTATAGCTTAAAACGAAAACCGGTCTTTAAAAAACCGATTTACCTGTACGACCAATTATGCTTTCCAATGCAAAGAAAACGCCCAAAATTGATCTAATATTATCTATTTTGTGTGTTAATGCTTAATAAGATTATTAATGTTATCATGGCTAGAACTTACGGGACAAAATGAAGACATGTTCTATACTTTTATGATAAAGTACATCAAAAGTCCATATATAATTTTCAAAATCTACAGTTATCCCATATTAAATGAGGAGGTTTTATGAACATTTTAAATAATGAGGATGAATAAGTTAAATTCAAAAAAAAAAAAAACTATTGCAAAAGCTTAACCATTGGACGACTCATTTAATTAGAAGTTAAAAATATTAGAATAATGAGTTGACAAGAATATTAAGTGATGATCGTTTGTCATTGCAGATACTCTCAGTGCGATAAAGTTGACGCGGTAAAAGAAAATTATACATTCTTTTAAAGAATTATCGACATAATATTTGTACGCAAAATTTCTTTTAATGTGAGATTAACTTTATAAATTCTCTTTAAGTTCCATTTCTGATTACCGAGTGTATAAGTTAATCATAATAGACATTAGCCCACAATCATAAAGGTCACACACACGCAACATACGAAAATAACACATATACAATATACACACAAAAAAATAAAAAAAATAAAAAAATAAAAAAATAAAAAATCAAGTGTTACTAATTTATGAGCTTCAAAATGGTCATAAAACATATGACCTTTCAATCTTTCCACAAAAGTAATAACTGCAAGTTTAGTATTTGAGATTTAGCAACCATCAAAGTTAAATGATTTTTTTTGTAAATGCTAGAAAATTTTATGAAAAAGAAACACCATTAAGGTATTGAAAAAATCACATGAACGATAAACAAACCACCATTAACATTTTTTAATTGCTTTGTTTGTTACCTTTCATCTTTATTAAATAAGTTTAGATTTATAGAATAGCAATACATTTCAATTTTTTTAAGAACAACTTACACACACTATACTCTTAAATCTACACCTTTTATCCACCTTTGTTATTGTATTACATTTTTTTTATACTTTTTATTATATTAATGTGTTAAAACAAATTAATATATTTGTTAGAATACATCCAAAGAAAGTATCAAACACTCGTACTTACATGGAAATGACAAAAACATGAAAGCAAAATCATCAATATTAATGTGTATTATCATTGCTCATTTATATTTGAATCATAAAATAACCTTTTTATGACTAATTTCTATGTCTATATAAATAGAAATTTTAGTATTTTTGAGTTTTAAAATCATGGTATCTTCATACATATGTTGCATCAGTACACTCTTGTAAGAAAGAAAATATTTAAGTAACTCCCATCTTATTCAAAGTATAAGAGGATTTCATTACAAAACACATAAAAGTAAATGGTAGCATTAGAATTAGGTAGCAAAAAAATGCAAAGCCCCAAATTTACTAAAGCTATCTCCAACTTTGGCCTTTTGACATTAAACAACTTTGGCCTTTTGGGCTTTGGCAGCTAATAGCCCAAAACAAAAAAAATGAAAAATATAGCAACATACTTCCATATCTTTGTGTTTTATAACACCCTACTATCATTTCTTTCCATGCAACATTGTAATTAAAACAGTTTTCTTCATAATGGATTGTACTTTAGCAGATCTTCATAATGCGATGGGAGGAGAATAGTTTAATTATCCGAAATCTCTGTAAGTAATTAAAAAATCAAAAGTAAAGTCTTGACAATAAAATATAGTACAACAAGTTTTTTGGTTAAATTTATATAAACTCAAAGTAGGATGTTGTAATATGAACTTAAATGAAAGTAGGATGCTGGAATTGGTAAATTTTCAAAATACATTGCTTTAAAATAAACTACAATGAAAGTAGGATGTTATAATTGGTAGATTTTCAAAGTATAGTGCTTTAAAATGACATAAATTAAAAGTAGGATGTTATAATTTGTACATTTTTAAAGTACAATGCTTATATGAACTAAAATGAAAGTAGGATGCTGCAAGTGATAGATGTTCAAAGTAAATTTCTCTATCTAAACTATAATATTCTAAAAATCCTTATTACAGCAAAACGCTTTGCAACCTTAATACATCTATCAAGCCACTCTTACCTAAACTCCATGTAGTCCTGCATTTTGAAAGAAAGTATAAAAAGGATAAGAAATAAACATCACTATATAATCATCTTGGCATAATGAAAATTATCTCACCTTGGCATAATGAAAATTAGTTTGACATCACTATATAATCATCTTCTCCTTCTCTATTTCTTGATTTCATGGGTCTTTTATATTTTGTAATGAGAAAGAAACAAATGATAACTAATGTCAAGATCCAAACAACATAGAAAACTCCCCAGTTGATTAAACCCCTGTAAATAAAAGGGAGATTAATTTCAATTTTTCTTTTCTTATATGAAGTTCATGGAGGGGATAATGATGGTCATGTAACATCTAACAATAAAGGAGCCCAAAGAAATACAAAACCTGATTCATTTTCAGCTTCATTGGTGGCTAAGTCGAAGCATAACACAAGATTCCAAACTTTAGGACATAATTTTCATAAAAATAGATATGTATAAAATATGAGATGAAAATATGTCAATTTCTTAATTGCAAGGAAAAATAAGTTAAATACCAAAATGAGAAACCAAGGAGGTGTGCAAGAAGAAGAAATGCTTTAATTTTTTGTATTTTACATCAATTCTACATTCTAATTTCTACACACTTAGTGTAGTTTAAGGCATTAATCAAAGGAATTCACCAAATTTGAAAAAATAAATAGGGAATATACCAGAAACCAGAAGATAATTTATCACCACCAAGATCAACATCTTCAAGGGCTTTTCCCAGCAACAATGCAATATCACCATTCTTTAACACATCAATATCA